GAGAAATTTGGGCGAGCGTACTTTGGACCTCCCTGTGTACTTTTTTGCAAATCCCTGTGGTTTGTAATGATAGTACTTTGAAAATAAAAAGTTGTCCAGGCATGGTGGCTCACACCTGTAATCCCAGCACTTTGGGAGGCTGAGGCAGGTAGATCACCTGAGGTCAGGAGTTTGAGACCACCCTGGCCAACATAGTGAAACCCCATCTCTACTAAAAATACAAAAATAAATCCCAGCTACTTGGGAGACTGAGGCAGGAGAACTGCTTGAACCGGGGAGCTGGAGGTTGCAGTGAGCCAGGATTGTGCCATTGTACTCTAGCATGGGTGACAGAGTGAGACTCTGTCCCCCCCAAAAAAAAGAAAGAAAACATATCACAACTGTTTTCTCATGTTGTTAAAAATTCCACCAGTAATGTAAGGGAATATTGGGTGCCCTGTCCCCTTGCCAATGTTGGGCATTCTCACTTTTTAGATGTTTGCCAATATGATATATGAAAACTGTCATGTCATTGTTTTGATTTGCATTTTCCGGAAGCATCAGCAAGGTTTAATGGTTTTCACATTTAAAAAAAGTATTTTTTAATTTATAATCACCTTGTTTGATAATGAGGTTTTTGAGTTTTTATTAACTGTGTTTCTTCTCCTGCCTAGATAAATCTTAGAATTTTTCATATTGATTTAGACATATGCTAGTACAGAGGTCTTTTTAAGTCTATGAAAATTTTAATGATTTTTCTTGGTAATTTTTGTCTGTAGATTCAAGTTTAAAAGGGCATTTCCCATTCTGATATCATATAAATATGTGTAATTTGTTAGTTTTAAAAAACATGACTTTTTTAATCCCCTAGATTGTAGTATAAGTTTAGTAATTGTAATTTACAAATTTAGTAATTACAATTGTAGTAATGTAACTAGGTGTTACGTTAGTCTTCTAGATATTGCCTGTTCATACCTTTGCCCACTTTCTCCCCTTTTGGGTTGTTTATCTTTTCTTCTTACTGCTTTGTAGGAGTTCTTTAGATATCACAATGGTTAATCTTCTGTTATATGTTGTACATGTATTTTCTCATTTGTTACTTGTCTTTTAATTTTGTTTATGATGTCTTTATACAGAAGTTTTAACTTATGTGGTCAGATCTTTCACTTAAAAAAATTTATTATTCAGCTTGAAAATCATTCACTTCTTTAAAGCTTTTGGGCTCTTTTTTTCTTGTTCAGCAAAATCTCTACCATCCCAAGATTATCTTTTAAAAATTTTCATATATTAACTGAGCTCATGTAGTTTGTATGGAATTTCCTTTTGTGTCTAGTGTGAGGGTAGGAATCTAACTTTTTCCCGAATGGATAGGCTTTTGCATCTCTCAGTTCACTGACTTGTTCATGTTTCAAATGCCACAAGGTCTTCCTGCATAATAAGGCCTCTTTCTGGATTCTCAGTTCTGTTCCAGTGACAGGTCTGTCTGTGTTTATTCCATTGCCTCCCCTCCCCTGTGGCTTTTTATAGAAGTTTGATATCTGATAGGGCAAATATGCTCGTTTTCAAATTTTTCTTAGCTATTCTCATGAATTTACTGTTTCCGGTGAATTTTAGAATTATCTTGATGAGTTTTAAGACAAATCCCATTGAGATTTTGATTAGAATTGTGCTAAATTTATCGATGAATATGGGAAGGAGTTAGTTCTCACTATCAGGTCTTTCCGTCAAGGAGCATACTGTATATGTCTATTCTGGAGTTGCCTCTCTGATAACAGTTTTCACCTAGATGCTCATTGTAGCATTGTTTTGTTCTAAACACATGTATTACGAAGATAGGATTAGAGCAAATTAGTTGAGGGAAAAGCCTTATGTCATCTCTCCCTGTTTTCATTTCTCTTTTCACCTTTAATTTTGGGTCTAAAGAGACTTTAACATGATATATGGTATATGTATACTCAGGCTCTTGTAACAATTGGCAGTACAGTATGATCTGTTTTTCTTACTGTCATTAATGTAATAAGGACTAATCAAGTTGATAACTATATTTAACTCTTATGTTAGATATGAAGGATGTTTCCAGTTTCTGAGAGCACACATTAAGATAGTGCTTTTACTCTTGTTTTATTTGAAAAATGTTTCAGGAGGGGTGGTTTTATTTTTTTGGAAAAAACTCTTTGAGGTAATATGTAATTGTTGTGAAAATTTCCGACAATACTGCAGCTTATAAAGAAGAAAGTGCCTTTTGAGAAGGTGAGAGTTTTGTTCTCCAAAACTTTCAGTCACTGAAGTGCCTCCTTGTTACTTTTGCCATAGATTTGTATCATCTGTACTGTTCATTTGTAACAGTTTTCTTAAAATTTACTAAAGAAACCCAAAAATCCTTAGAAGAGCTGTGAACTCATACATTGATGTATATTAGATAAACACATAATGATGTTTTATGTACATTGCTGTATATTAAGAAATATATAACATTGATGCATATTAAATAATTTTTTCAAAAGTATGTATACTTTATGACACATTGGCACAGTGAGTGAAAGTGTAGGTTCTGAAATCAAGGCTTCATGGTTTTAAATCCTGATTCTGCTATGCCCTCCCTCAGTGATACTAGGTAATAAACTTAAGCCTCTGCTTCCATTTTATTTGTTAAATGGGGTTAGTATGCCACCTCCCTTGTGAGGTTATTATAAAATTAAACAGCAGGTGTACAGTCAGTCAGCACAGCCCTAGTACCTAGGTGTTCCACCAATACTAGCTATCATTCAGTAGAATGATTTGTAAATACTCTGTGTCTCCTTCAAAGCTAGTTCTCACACAAGCATGTCATTTTTAAAGTGTTTACATAGTATTCATTTTAAGAATGTACTGTGATTTATCAAACTTAATGTTTTGTCATTATTTTTTGTCATTTTTTTTTTTAAAAAAGCGACATATAACAGGGTTGGTTTCTAGTATGTATCACCAGATTTTCCTTCCAAAGGACTGTATTAATTTGCTGTTCTGTCAGTTTAGACTCTGTGATTTAAATATTTGGTGGGGGGCAATAGTGGGTTTAAAAATAAAACTTGTTTTTCTTTTAGTTAACATTATTATTCACCAGCCATTAAGGAACACATTAATTAATATTTATTCTTGTTGAATCTGTGTGATTTTCTGAGTTAGGTGAGCCTGCCCCTCTCTCTTTCTCTCTCTCTCTCTCTCTCTCTCTCTCTCTCTCTCTCTCTTTCTCTTTCTCTCTCTCTGTGTGTGTGTGTGTGTGTGAGATGCAGTTTATGTGTATGCTGTTAGAAATTGAGAAATTATGGTAATTTCCTATTATTCTAGTCGGGGATCCCTGGAATATCAGAGTTGTTTCCAATCTATAGCCACTGTTTTCAAGTCTACAGGGTCCCTGGGAGAAAGATGTGTATTAAATATTTGCACTGACAAATGGAAAACAAAAGGACTGCACGTTTTATTTTTAACTAGGACTTGGGGAGCAAACTTCAGGGTAGAAGACTGGAATGAGCTCAGCTGGCTCATGTGGAAATGCTGGTGTTTTGGAATCTAGTTAAGCTTAAATTGTTTCAAACTAAAGCAGGCCATGAGATGAACCCTTTTCATCTCCCCAGTTCCCAAGCACACCGAGATTTGCCCCGCATTTGACTCCTTTCTGTCAGTTTCCCCGGGTCATGTAACCAGAGCGAGCCCATTTGCTCTGGCTGACTGCTGATCTGGCCTTGGACACCTGCCCTGGCCTCTTCTGCCCAAGGGGTAGGTTTGGCCATGGGTATCCCCGACAGTGGGGGAGTGACAACCTTCTCAACCAGTTCAGTCACATGGAAGAAGGAGAAAAGTGAGCTCACATCTGTGTGCTAACCTTTTAACAGTGATGCTGCCCAGTGACACACAGACCCAGTCAGTGTTCTCACATCTGCCTTCCTCCTTCCTGAGAATCAGGAGAAAGAAGAGCTCAGGCTTGGTTTCTCACCTCAAAAGACAGCACATAAAAACTTGCAGCCATTCTCAGAAGCATTGGTTTTCTGTTGGGTTGTTGCTTGTGTCAAGTCAGCCAGAAAGAGGTAGAGTAAAAACTGACTTGCTGAGAATTACACATAATCATGTCACCCCCCAACTATGCATCAGCCTGCAGAGAATGACGTCTTACTCCTGAGATGCTCTTTCCTCTTGCTTAATGGTTCATGGCATGTTCTTCATTTTCCTCCTACCACTTTCAATTTTTTTTCTCTTTTTCTGGCTTATTTTCCTGTATTTGGCCATTAAATGTTGATGTTCCACCAATCAGCCCTAGGCCCTTCTGTCATTCTTCTTTCCCTAAACAGTTAGAGCCATGTCCATGGCCTCACTGATGGGCGAATCCAACATTTTCATCTCTACCCCAGCCTTTGCTCTTGAGAACTCCATCTGCTACTACCTAATTGTCTACTGGACGTCTCTGCCTGGATATCTCAAAGGTATTCTAAATTCAGCATGTCCAAGATTTATTTCATATTCTTCCCCTGAAAATGCTGTTTGCTATCTTAACAAAAGGCATCACTGGCTGGGCATGGTGCCTCATGCCTGTAATCCCAGCCCTTTGGGAGGCTGAGATGGGTGGATTGCCTGAGGTCAGGAGTTCGAGACTAGCCTGGCCAACATGGTGAAACTATCTCTACTAAAAACAACAAAACAAAAGCACAAAAAATTAGCTGGGCATGGTGGTGGGTGCCTATAATCCCAGCTACTTGGGAGGCTGAGGCAGGAGAATCACTTGAATCCAGGAGGCAGAGGTTGCAGTGAGCAGAGATTGTGCCATTGCACTCCAGCCTGGGTGACAGAGCAAGACTCCATCTCTAAACAAAAAGAAAAGTAAAGAAAGGCATCACCACCCAAGCAATCATGCAAGTCAAAAACCTGGGACTTGTCCATGACTCTTTCTCCTCTCCTCCCTCACCAAATTCAGTCAATCACCAGGTCCCATTGATTGTTTTTAACCTTCTTCTATTGTGAACTATAACATACACACAGGGCCGGGCGCAGTGGCTCACGCCTGTGATCCCAGCACTTTGGGAGGCCAAGGTGGGCAGATCATGAGGTCGGGAGTTCGAGACCAGCCTGACTAATATGGTGAAACCTCATCTCTACTAAAAATACAAAAATTAGCCAGGCAAGGTGGCGCACACCTGTAGTCCCAACAACTCAAGAGGCTGAGGCAGGAGAATCACTGGAATCCAGGAGGCGGAGGTTGTGGTGAGCCGTGATCGTGCCATTGCACTCCAGCCTGGGTGACACATCCCCCTCCCCCCAAAAAAAACCATACACGCAGAAAAATCATTGAGCAGTGCATCTTTTGTTGTTGTAATCAACAAAGCATAACCCTGTAACCAATATTCAGGTCATTAAATAGACCAATGCCAGCACTCCTAAAAGCCCTAATTGGCTGTATTCCTCCCCCTCAAAAATGTTACCTCTCTCCTGACTTTCATGGAAATCATTTTCTTACTTTTCTAAGATTGCACCCAAACTTAGTAGTTTAGTTTTCCCTGCTCTTTGAACTTTATGTAAATAGAACCATTTAGTTTGTTTTCTTTACTTGGCTGCTTTCAGTGTCGTAAATTTTATGAGATTCACCTGTGTTTTATGGAGCTGTAGTTTGTTCATTAGACATTGCTGAATAATACTGTACTATGAATCTAACACAATTGTATTCACTCTCTTTTTTTTGGAGACTGAGTTTCACTCTTTTCACCCAGGCTGGAGTGGCTTGATCTCAGCTCACCGCAACCTCCGCCTCCTGGGTTCAAGCAATTCTTCTGCCTCAGCCTCCCAAGTAGCTGGGACTATAGGTCCACACTACAACACCCGGCTAATTATTGTATTTTTAATAGAGATGGGGTTTCGCCGTGTTGGCCAGGCTGATCTCAAACTCCTAACCTCAGGTGATCCACCTGCCTTGGCCTCCCAAAGTGCAGGGATTAGACATGAGCCACCATGCCCAGCCTTCACTCTCTTTCTGATGGATATTTGTCTCCAGTTTACAGCAATTATGAATATTGCTGCTATGAACATTTTTTTTTTTGTATCTTCAGTTTTACTTAGTAATGCCAGACTATTTTTCAAAGTGGTTGCACTAGTTTAGATTCTTACCAACAATGTGTGAGAATACCTGCTTATCCACCTCTTTGCCAAGGCTTAGAATTGTCAATCTGTTAAATTTTATTAACCATTCTGGTCGGTACATAATGGGTTTTTGTGTGTAACTGAGGTGTATGTCATACACAATAAAATGTGAAAACGTGCAGCCTGAAAGAATATTTTACATATAAATGTATCTATCTAACCACTACCCAGATGAAGATATAGAGTATTTCCGCCACCCTAGAAAGTTCTCTCATGCTCTTTTCCAGAAAGAAGCTGCTATTCTATCCACACTATTTTGACTTTGGCCACTATACATGTGTTTTGCTTGCTTTTGAACTTCATGTAAATGAGCTCTGACAGTATGGACTCTACTGTGTCTGGCTTCTTTTGCCCAACATAATGGTTTTTTTGGCAATTGATCCAAGTTGTTGGTTACTCTTTTTTTTCTTGCTGAGTTCTGTTGTATGATTATATTACACTTTATTTATTTTCTTATTGATTGTTTCTAGGTTTTGGATATTGTGACTTAAGCTGCTATGAATATTCTTATATATACTTATTTCTCTTGGGTATATATCTAGGAGTGGATTTCTGGGTCATGGGGTAGATGAGTATTTAACTTTATTAGAAATGACAGAACAGTTTCCCAAAGTGGTTGTACTAATTAACACTCCACATTGGTTTTAATTTGCATTTCCTTGATGACTAATGAGGTTGAGCAGCCTTTTATATGTTTTTTGTTTTGGCCATTTGTATATCTTCTGTTTGAAGAGCTCATTGAAGTCTTTTGCCTCATTTTCTGGTAGGTGTTCTTTGTTTTATTGGTTTATATAACAGATAAATATATTGGTCCCCTCTCCTCCCTGCCCCATATCTGTGTTGCAGCTGTCTTTTACTAGCTAGTGGCTAGCCTTTTTATTCTCTTAAAGGTATCTCTTTGCTAACAGAAAAATTTTTAATTTTTGTTTTTAATTATTACAGATACATAATAAAACATATTTATGGGGTAGATGTGGTATTTTGATGCAAGCATACAATACATAATTATCAAATTAGGGTAGAGTACCCCATCACCTGAAGCATTTATTTCTTTCATGTGAGGAATATTCCAATTCTAGTCTATTAGTTATTTTGAAATATAAATTACTGTTAACTGTGTTGCCCTTTTGTGCTGCTGAACACCAGACTTACTCGTTCTTTTTAACTGTGTTTTTGTACCCATTCACCAATCCCTCCTTATTTCCCACTTCCTTTCCTGTCCTCTACTCTGTCTACATGGGTTCAGTTTTTTTCTTTAGCGCCCTCATATGGGTGAGAACATGCAATGTTTGTCTTTCTGTGCCTGGCTTATTTCACTTACCATGATGTCCTCCAGTTTTATTCATGTTGTCGCAAATGGCAGGATCGCATTCATTTTGATGGCTGAATAGTACTGCATTGTGTACAAGTACCACATTTTCTTTATCCATTCGTCTATTGATGGACACTTAGGTGGAGTCTGTATTTTGGCTGTTGCGAATAGTGCTGCAGTAAGCATGGGAGTGCAGGAATCTCTTCAGTGTACTGATTTCCTTTCTTTTGGGTGTATACCCAGCAGTGGGATTGCTGAATCACTCGGTAGTTCTATTTTTAGTTTTTTTGAGGAACGTCCATATAGCGCTTGTACTAATTTACATTCCCAACAACAGTCTTCAAGGGTTCACCTTTTTCCACATCCTCGCCATCATCTGTCGTTGCCTTTTTGATAAAAGCCATTTAAGCTGGAGTGAGATGATATCTCATTGTAGCTTTGATTTGCATTTCTCTGATTAAAGAAATTCTTAATTTTACTGTAGTTGAACATTTCTGAGTTTTCCTTTGTAGTCGGGTTTTTGTATCCCTGTGTGAAGATAAGCTGCCTTATTTTCTGCTGTTGTTTGCCTTTCACATTTAAATCAAGTCTCTGGAATTTGTGTGTGTCTGGTGTGAGATGGGGTACTTTGTTTTCCTAGATGACATGATGATGTTGATGACAGTGCTGCTGCTGCTGCTGATGCTGTTTAGTTCCATTTATTGAAAAGGCCATCGCCTCCTGCTCTGTAGAGCTTCCTTGGTCACAAATCAGGTAATGGTGTATACAAGGATTTGCCTGCCTCTTCTATTCCTGGTTTCCTGAGACTCTTTCAGAGCGGGGTGTTGGCCAGGTCAAAACTATTTTCATAGTAACACTTAGTGATTTTTTTTGCCTTAGACTCACTCTCTCACAAGTGTATGATAGGGTTTTCCAGAGGCCACATGAAATGCAGTGTTGCAACAGATTGAATGCAGAAGCAGATAAGAGAACCAAGCTGTCTCCCAAATAAAGGAGATTTCCAAAAATGTCAAACAGTGCCACTCTTCTCACTCAGTTTTTTTGTTTTGGAAAACAGTTATTTTTTTATTAAAGTGTTACTTATGTTAGCATATAATATATTTCTTATTTTTAAATGAATGAATTGATATTAAAACCTTTTTCTGTTTTGGCGGGGTGTGGTGGCTCATGCCTGAAATCCCAGCACTTTGAGAGGTTGAGGCGGGCAGATCGCCTGAGGTCAGGAGTTCCAGACCAGCCTGGGCAACATGGTGAAACCCTGTCTCTATTAAAAATACAAAATTAGCGGGATGTGGTGGCACATGCCTGTAATCACCAGCTACTCGGGAGGCTTAGGCAGGAGAATTGCTTGAACCTGGGAAGCAGAGGTTGCAGTAAGCCAAGTGCCACTGCACTTCAGCCTGGGTGACAGAGGGAGACTCCTTCTCAATAAATCAATAAATTAATTAATTTTCTGTTTCAATTTCTAATGTGATAAATATAATAGTTGTAACCCATGTTAACTAAAGCATTTTAGAATCTCAATAGTTTGCAGGAATGTCAAACCAGAAAGTTTGAGAATCACTCGTCTAGTTTTATGTCTTGCTATCCAGTGGAGAGACATGGAAGGTGCCTTCACAACATTCACATTCTAGAACAAATGAACCTGAAGTAGTAACCAAAGAAATGACTGAAGAAAACTATGCTTATGAAGAAAGGGGGCAGGAAGAGAAGCAAAGGAAAAAAATAAATGTGTACTTTTTATGTTTTAGCCAAATTTAAGGCAAAGAGATTCTGACAGAATTTCAAAGATTTCAGAAATAAAGTAACTATCCTTCAAGCACGGTGAGGATTCGTTGCCTGGGGTAATGAAGTTTTTTAAAAGTCTGGGTGGCAATGTTTTAAAACGAATACCACATGTGGACAGGGGTATGGTTAAATTGGCACTCCTACACATTTGAAGTGGGAACATAAATTGTTTTACTTTTCTAGATGTAAATTTGACAATTCTACTTCATGCATAGCTTAAGAACCTTACTAAGGTTTCTCCCAGGCATGGTAGCTCACGCCTGCAATCCCAGCACTTTGGGAGGCTGAGAAAAGCGGATCACTTGAGGTCAGGTGGATTACCTGAGGTCAGGAGTTCCAGACCAGCCTCATGGTCAAACTTCATCTCTACTAAAAATAAAAAAATTAGCTGGGTGTGGTGGTGTATACCTGAAATCCTAGCTATTTGGGAGGCTGAGGCAGAATTGTTGAACCCAGGAGGCAGAGGTTGCAGTGAGCAGGGATTGTGCCACCACACTCCAGCCTGGGCAACAAAGTGATACTGTTCAATCAATCAATCAATCAATCCTTACTAAGGTTTCTTATACCCTTCCCATCCCCTTCCATTCTTTGTGCTATTGTCATACCTTTTACTCCAGTGTGTTATAAAACTCATATGCATTATTATTTTTGCTTTAAATAACTATCTTTTTAAAGCTGCTATTTCTTTAATTCACAATGTTGTGCAACGATCGCCACTAATTGCAGAACATTTCCATCACGCAAAAAGGGAAATCCTGTACCTGTTAGCA